CTCGCAAAAGAAAAGACTAAAAACTAAACCTTTAACAATCTTTTCAAATTCAGTGCAGAGCTCTTCAACATTAACCATGAAGAATTCTGAAAGGCGCGCTTTCGGGTACACTTCATTCCTCAGAATAGAATTCAGAGCCTAGAAAAAACAAAAAAAAAGTGGAATTTACCAATATTATTTCAAAAACATTTACGAAGACTACTAAACAAAATGACAAATGTGAAGGGATTATTTATAAGGACCTCAATATGCTGGTCAGTTTCAATAACTGGAGGTAAAGAACGATGCTCCCAAACACCAGCAGCAATTTCTTTGCTGAAGTGGTGCAACAGTCGATCAACTACGTAAGCCGGACGTAAATGGGGAGAATTTTTGCAGTTGTAGGCACACTCTGGATGTTCCTGCGTAATAGTGGTACTCAGCTATGAGTTAGAATGTTCGATGAAGAAATTAATTCAAACAATGGCAGTAAAATGCTACTGGCAATGCTCAAAATTGCACACTTTTTCTCAGACTAGCTGTTAGTGATCAAAAAGCAGTAACACTACCATCAACCAAGGAGAGTTCTTCGCTGTATGATTCCAAACAACATCCTGAATGGATAACATGCCCCACTCATTTGACAGCTTAGTTGTTAAAGCTTGTACATCATCTAAAGTGTATTTCCGCTCCTGCAAAATAGGTAAGAATGGATTGAACGCTATAGAAAAGACTAAAGGACTATGTGACCATTTAATCAGAAAATATTTTTAAACATACCGGTGTACTGAATGCTGGATTCAGCTCAAGCTGGTTAGCTATACAATAACTGCAAAAATATCAAACAGTCCAATCGTTTAAATTGACTTATTATTTTTTCTTTAGTATTCGTAATAACTAATTATGTTACTTGAAAGTCACGCCAGGCAAGGTTAACCAGTAGAACTACACATGATTTCGCCAAAATTGAGTTTACGACTTTTCAGAAATATCTAAGTCTTACCTGCTATTAGATATGCCCAAAGTATGAATTGGTGTAAAGTGTATCATATTATACCCAGATTCTTTAGCAACAAGTAAACGATCCTCCCATTCCGGCAAAGTACCAAGAAGCTTACTTAAATGCGTTTGGCAGATGATGGCATCTAGCGGCAGCGGTTTACCAGATGCTTCAAGTTCCGGCAAAACTTGCAGATAACCGCTACCTGCTGGGGTGCTATAAACTACCAGTTTAATTGAAAAAAAATTTTACTTCGTTCTCTCGTTTGTGACGCTAAAACACTCTAACATGAATCAGGCAATTAACTAACTCTTTTTTGCCGTTAACGTAGAAATGGTAAGAAAATGCTCCAGCGCGGGTACACTGGATTTCCGCATAAGCAGCCAAATCATCTGGTTCGTCGTTCCACGGAATTTCACCAGATATTGACGTAAAAACTTGCACATCTTTTCCGAGCAGATTTCCTCCTCTCATAAAACGAACAATCCATCCTGAAAACAAATTAATGGAACACAGTTCAACAGCAGTAAGAACGACAACACTAACTGCGTTAACGCCAGCCATCTTACTACTGAGAATGTATTTCGTGATAGACTGGAAGATTCTAGATCTTAAAGGAACTAAAAAGTTTAAGATGAAATTAAGTGGAAATACAATGCTGAAAGTTGTACCTTTATGAAGCCTGATAACCACGGAATCTCGGTGTTCCCCGTTGCTGAGAGTGACGATGCGAATCTGCTGATTTTTGTCGTTACCTTTGTCTGGCATAATTTTCCACCACTAAAATGTAAAAAAAAGAAACCATTATTCTTTTTTGGAATAAAACGATAGCAGCGCAAATAAAAACGAAAAGTTACTGAAGACAGCAAAAATGATCACCAAATGACTATGCCGTTTTTGTTGCACGACCGCGAGCGATCTAAACTGATACTTGACTTCCAATCATTACTTTTTTTCTATTTTCAACATTTACATCCCCCCTTTTTATTGTTTTAAACTTACGAGTATAAACGTAACAGAAGAAAACAGGAAATGAAATTTATTGTTTTTCAAAAGAAAAAAAGGTGAAACAAACAAATAAATGAAACAGCAAAATTGACAATACAGTTACAATAACTAAAAAAAAATGCTTCTTTATTGTGCCTAATCGTCGGCTGAAAAGAATAGAAAAAGGAAGGGGGAAAGATAAGCAAACTTTAACTTTCCGTATATTTTCAATTATTTTAAACAGTTCCCAACTGCATTAAAGAGCACTGTCCCCTTCTCCCCCTCCCCCCCCCCC